ACCGTACCCTACCAAGGGTGATATACTAAGACTCTGTCTCAAAAAAAAAAATTTAGAATAATAATTACTTTTCATAAGGTAGAAATAAATGTTCTCAAGAATTAATTTATGCTAGAAAGCAGCAGAATGGGTATGCTTAATCTGCAATTTTCTGTCTAGCTTTAAGCTCTTGATACAAGCATGAACAATCACAAAAATCTGAGTGCTTCCATTATAAACTATCCTGACTTAATGAATTAATGCATGTACTCACACGGAGCCATGTATCTACTAAGTATTTAATAAATGCTAGATATTCTTATTCCTGACACTATTACAAATAGTATAGTCTCCAAAAGGCTTAAAATATTATCATAAACATTATTTAATAACAACAGAGAAAAAGATTACCATGGAAATTACTTACATATGGATAGATTAGACAGATAGCTTTTCCTGATGTGAGTTAATTCTTGCTCCTACTCCCACAGCACTCTGTACTAACCTCTAGTCTGGCACTCATCCCATTTTGTATGCACCTAGACTCCTACTCCAGAGTCTATATAATGGCACAATGATCACTCTTACTGAACATTAATGCAAGAGCCAATCCATAGACCACTGCACAGACTCTGAGAGATGAACAGAGGTCAATGGACCACACTTTATAACTGAGTAGCACTGAAATGGAAAACAAAGGTAAATGCCCTCCTCCCCTACTGCCACACACACCTAACTACTTAGACTTTCAGATATATTTCTAAGAGTGAACCTAGAAATGAACTTTAGAAAAATAAGTTACTCACCACGGCAAAGACAAATTCTAGATACTTAATCGTGCTGCTATTCAGCCTAAGTAGAGCAGTTTGAGGCTGGCAGCTGCCTGTGATGTCAGTAGTATTGGGCTTAATGTTAATAACTGAAGCAACCTTTAGGAGAAGAGGGAGAAAAGGCATAGGTTAGTTTTAAGTTTACAGCAAAGACTTACTTTATTAAGACAAACTTCACTGCAGAACAAAAAATCCTTTGTCTGGATACTTAAATTCACATCATCTTAGTTTCAAAGTTGGCATGGGACCTCAAGCTATGACTCAGATATCTTAAAAAAAAAAAAAAAAGGGAAGCTTCCTCAGTAATGAGCCAAATGAAAACACACATTTTCATGGAGCACAAGAGCCATCTGTCTAGCCTGTTTAAGTTACAGGATTTGGAAACAATATTTGTTTACTGGCACTCCCTCTGCAATCTCGGTGGAACACTGCAACTGGAAGTGCCATCATGTACTTGAACACATCTGAGTCATCAAAGAGATGGAGAAACAGATAGTTGCACAGTTCCCGGACACCAACCTATAGTGCGTTTCAGATCAAAATATGAAGAAGTTATATTTTAAACTAACTGAAATAAAGATCAACTGTTGGTGCTCTGATCTACTGATGGCAAATAGAATCTAAACCTCAAAGAGTCCTATAAACTGCAAGGTTTACACTCCTTGAATATGACATTAACTCTTCAAAGCTCAACAGGTCAACAACAAATCGCCATTTAAAACTGAATCATTCTAGCAATGCTACCCTTGGGCTGAAAGTAGGATATGCAGTATTTGCAAAGAAATACAAAAAATGATGGAGGGATAAAAAGAGGCACCTATACCTTATCCTGAGTGATGTTCAGCTGCAGCCCCATGGTAGCCAGCAGACAAATACCATTGGTGCTATTAACCAAATAGTTTCCAGTCTCTGGTCTTTCCTTTGGAGTAGGTTTTGTAGTAGGAGACGGCATAGTGGTGTGAATGGTAGGTGCCACTGTTGTTGAAGTATTATCTTTACTGCACAAAAACTCTAAAATAAACCAAAAAGGATAAAAGAAACTAAAGTAGACTTTCTTTTAATTTATAAGGTCAGGGAAGAGCAAACTATTTCTCACTATAGAAGTCCAAGAGAGCCAAGAGGGTTATATTAGGGAAAGAGATTATCTTGATAGTATATTTTATTTTGTTTTCCTTTTTTAAAAATTAAATTGTAATACTGTACATGAATGCATTTATGGGGTACAATGTGCTGATTTTATATACAATTTGGAGTGCTTACATCAAACTGGTTAACATAGTCTTCACCTAATTGTTGTGTTAAGACATTTATACTCTACTCTTAATAGATATGAAATGTACCCTTGCAATATGCACCATAGGTAAGGTCCCACCGATTACCCTTCCTCCACCCAGCCTCCTCCCACTCCTCCCTTCTCCCTTCTCTTCCCTCCTTCTTTCGGGGCTATAGTTTTATCATTCATATGACAGTATGGGTGATTATATACTGGTTTCATAGTATATTTTAAACTAAATGAGGCAGAAGTTCTCAAATCGGTGCTTCATATACAATCTCTACACGTTATGATACAGCAGGTCAACTCAGGACAGGTCCAAATTTATCTTCTCACACATGGCTGCACATTCATCTTTTTCAGAACCTTAAGTCCTTTCATTACCAAAGAACTTCACCTGCCTCTGCCATAAAATTCAGAGATTGTAAGTCTGAAAACATTTCATCTCAACCCAGCTCGCCTTCTTCATTCTCACATACAACCACTAGAAGGAAGGATACTGTTTATTTGGGAAAAAGGTCTAGAAATCATTCGAGGATTTAAATATAAATAAACCTTATTTTTAAATTTTTGATACATATGGGGCACATGTGATTTTTGTTACATACACAGAATATGTAATAATCAAGTCAAATGAACTTTCAATTTGCTTTACTCCTATAACAAATCATAGGCATAGGTTATTTCAACCTCTTCTTAGGAATTGTTAATAGTTTTGCAGAACTAGTTGATAAGAATGTATTACATTTTCATAAAGCCATATGAAAGTTATAAAACCTAACAAATACAATCAGTATAACCTGGTTTCTTGTACCCTCAATGAATCCCCAACAATAAAAAAAAGGAAAAAAAAAGACTGAAAAATTCAACATTCAGATAGAAGCAGAGTGTGGAATGATGGACAATGGAGACTTGCAAGGTTGAAGGGGTGGAGGGATATGGATGAGGAGAGTTTCTTGTGGGTATAATTTGTGTTGCTCCAGTGATGGATGCACTGAAGGCCCTGACTTCATTACAATGTAATATATCAATATAGCAAAATTGTACTTGTACCCCATAAATATGTACAAATTTTAAAAATCTAAATTAAAAATGGACTGAGAAAAAAACAAAATTCAAGATCAGAACACAGAAATCTAATATCTAAACTTCAGTCTTGGAATGGCTTAACAACTGTTGATCAAGCTATTTGAGGATCTGTTCAAACAAAGATTAGGTTTTAATAGCTGAAAACATTATGGGTAGAGCCTTTTAAAAGACTATTCCACAACAAGTAGATTATAAACTTTTAAATTGCAAATTCCACAAGAATAAGAATTGCTATTATTTACAAAACTTTACAGCTTTATGGAAGCTATGAATAAGCTCTACTATATTTAACTTAATAAATGCTTTCAGATAACGACTTCAAAGAAAGCTACCTGGTATACTCTAATCTTAAATTAGGATCCAAGTACAGAAATATATACTTTAAGTACTCACCTTTGGTACTCACTGTGCCATTTTGGACAAAAGCTTGTACGTGAACATCCCAATAGTGCTGGACAACATTATTACTTTTTAGAGTTGATAAACTATTACATCTAAAGATCTCATTCAATGGAATTGTGATTTCCGGAACTTCAAGAACAGTAATAATTCCTATAAAACGAGATTAACAATGGCTGTTTCCAAAGAGGTAGGAGAAAAGTAGTAACATAAATGTGACAAAAGGCATGGTATGCTCATGGGAATTACAAATTCACTGTGCCTGAAACATAGGGAGTAGGGAGAGGAAATAACAGGGGTTAAGAAGGAAAGACAAGTTCCAAGTTGGTCACACTTTGAAGTATTTTCTATCTAAGGACAACGTGCACTTTTTTGTTAACAGTAGAGGGCTAGCTTCAGTTTTCAGTGCAGGAAATAACACACACACATAATATATTCTAAGAGAGACAGAAAATTTTTAGGGGAGAGACAGAGGAGAAAACTTTTCAGGGAAGCCACTTAAGAAGAAACCAGTTAGAAGGCTGATGGCCAGGTTAAGGTGAAGAGATGGTTGCCTAAACTAAGATGGTGAGGGCCAGTAAAAAGAGAGCAAATAAGCCAAATTGAGAACACCTACCTAAGTAAAATCAACAGGACCTAGGGACTATAAGTAAGGAAGCAGGAGAGATTTTATAATGAATCCTTATTTTTATACTACTATCCCAAAGTAAGTTGTATTAACTCTAATGATCTTATAGAACCTCATCCTGGGTAGAATTCAAAGACTTCATTTTCTGTACAGATTTTTTTTTTTTTAATTGAGACAGAGTCTCACTCTGTCACCCTCAGTAGAGTACTATAATATCATAGCTCACAGCAACCTCAAACTCTTGGGCTCAAGCGATTCTCTTGCCTCAGCCTCCCTAGTAGCTGGGACTACAGGCATCTGCCACAACACCTGGCTATTTTTTTTTAGCAGGCCCAGGCTAGGTTCAAACCCACCAGCCCTGGCACATGTGGCTGGCGCCCTAACCACTGAGCAACAGGCGCCCAGACTGTACAGAGTTTTTATCAGAATGCCTACAGTGAAACTTCAAAAGGCTATGATCATTCTCATCCACTCAAATCATTTAGTTTCTTTTAGAGAAGCAAAAAGGAAGGAAGGTAGGTATTCGACGTCATTAAGATAGGCTGCTTTCTTTATCTATCATGTAGCAAGTAGCCACTTAATGCTGCCTTGGCACCCCCTAATGGCCAAAGGAATTTTTTTAAACCAATGAACTAGAACATTTTTCTCAAAACTGTTTCTTACCATTAACAAAAACGAACAGAAATGTAAACTGACTGTATATAGCTAGACCTTAAAAATAAATAAGAAAAAAAAACAAGTTGTAGGGCAGCACCTATGGCTCAGTGAGTGGGGCACGGGTCCCATATACTGAGGGTGGCAGGTTCGAACCCAGTCCCGACCAAACTGCAACAAAAAAATAGCCAGGAGTTTTGAGAGGCGCCTGTAGTCCCAGCTACTCGGGAGGATGAGGCAAGAGAATAGTCTAAGCCCAGGAGTTTGAGGTTGCTGTGAGCTGTGAAGCCACAGCACTCTACTGAGGGCAACAAAGTAAGACTCTATCTCTAAAAAACAAACAAACAAAAAAGTTGCAGACATATTAAACTATGTATTGTTTATGAAAATGTGCTTATGTAGTAAAATATAAACACACAGACAGGAAGGCTACCCCCAAAATTTATGAGGGTGGTTGCCTCTGAGCAGCCAGGGAGGAACAGGTCTGGGGAGTGAGGCCCAAGGAAACTTCACTTGTGTCTGCAGGGGTTTATTTCTTTAAAGAAGAAAAAAAAATGCAATAAACATAAAAAAATGGCCTTTGTTAATTTGGAATAAGGGATACATGTGGTCTGTTATATTACTCTCTATACTTTTCTGTATTTTAATCATGAAGGCTATATAACCAGTTTGATGAAAATATTTCAAATTGTATACAAAAACAGCACACTGTATCCCATGATAGTATTAATGTACACAGCTATGATTTTAAAAAAATGTTTTTTTTCTTTTTTGGGGGACAAAGTCTTACTATGCCAGCCTCGGTAGAGTGCCGTGGTGTCACAGCTCACAGCAACCTCAAACTCTTGGGCTTAAGCAATTCACTTGCCTCAGCCTCCCAAGTAACTGCGACTACAGGCACCTGCCACGATGCCCAGCTATTTTTTGGTTGCAGTTATCATTGTTGTTTAGCTGGCCCGGGGTGGGCTCGAACCCGCCACCCTTGGTGTATGTGGCTGGCACCGTAACCACTGTGCTATGTGTGCCAAGCCCATAAAAATGTTCTTAAAATGAAAATAGCAACTTCATCATTACTTTAATTATCAGATGCCTAAAAATAAGTTAGTAAGTATTTTGAAATACTAAATTATTTCTTTTTCTGGCTGGGGCTGGGTTTGAACCCACCACCTTCAGTATATGGGGCTGGCGCCCTACTCCTTTGAGCCACAGGCACTGCCCCTCTTTTTTTTTTTTTTTAACAGTCACTTTGTCACCCTGGGTAAAGTGCTGTGCCATCACAGCTCACAGCAACCTCAAACTCCTGGGCTTAAGCGATTCTCTTGCCTCAGTTTCCTAAGTAGTTGGACTACAGGCGCCCGCCACAATGCCCGGCTATTTTTTGGTTGTAGTTGTCATTGTTTGGCAGGTCCAGGCTGCAATCAAACCCGTCAGCTCTGGTGTATGTGGCTGGCGCCTTAGCTGCTTGAGCTATAGGCGCCACCACTAAAGTGATCCTTTTGCCTCAGTCTACTGAGTAGTCAGGACTACAGGTGCTCACCACAACATCCAGCTATTTTTTAAAGATGGAGTCTCGGTCTTGCTCAGGCTGATCTTGAACTCCTGAGCTCAAGCAATCAACTCACCTTGGCCTCCCAGAGCACTGGGATTATAGGTATGAGCCACCGTACCCAGCCTGAAATACTAAATTATTTCGAAAATAATTTTCAACAGTCCATTTGAGGAAGCCATTTTAAATTTCAAATATAATAGAATATTCATAGTTGACCACTCCTTAAGTTGACCTAATTTTCATAGACTGGACATGCACCACATGTACTAAGGCCTTGTTCCTTATATTGACCACTTCCGTATTTTCTAGAACCTCTATAAGTTGACTAAACAAGGGACTGTAACAAACTATGGTCAACATACAGTAATGGTCAACATAAGGATCTAGGCCTACTGTACTGATATGTACATGAAGTATCATGTCCAGTCTATGAAAATTAGGTCAACTTAAGGGGGTGGTCAACTATGGAAGTTCTCCTATAGTTTCAAGTATCTTATTACATAAAAGCTGGTAGTAAAAAAGTAATCTTCCCCTTATTTAAAATAAACTGGGATGAGAAAAGTGTTAATATTTTAGAATCCATACATAGTTTTTCTATCCAAAGGTGTCAGATTAAACTCCTCTCCCTCCTGTTCCTGCTGCTCCCTTGGTCTAGGCATTTATTACATCAGCCCTCAATTACTATAACAGCCTCTTAAACTGGCATCTTTGCCTGCAGTCTCTTCACTTCTAAATTAATCCTGGAGAATATTCTTTATAAACTACTGTCTCTGTTTTTGTTATATCATTCTCCTGCTTAAAAAACCTAAGATGGTTCCCAAGTGCCTCTCCCATCAAGCTAAATGCCTTTCCTTGGCTTCCAAGCCCCCCCACCCCCGCCATACAATTTAGGCCCTCTGCACTTAGCCATCTTTATTTTCCTTCTGCTACACACACGGCCTCTATTTTAATCCGGCAGCTCTCCAATTACTGCTGCACGCACTATGCTTCCCCCTGCTGGAAAAGCCCTGCTCAAAATCCTCTGCTTGCTCAAGTTCTACCATTAGCCAGAGTTTCAGCATTGGTCCTACTTCTCTACCAAGCTTTGTCACTCCTCTAACACACACTGACCCCCTCCTTTCTACTCCTAATTGGGACCACTTGTGGGAACACTTTTAAATCAGGCACTCTTCACCACAGGAATACACAGGTGGGCTTCAGGGACTATGTATCATATGCAAAGTCTGCTATTTACTTTTTTGAGAGAGAGGGTCTAGAGCAGCGGTTCTCAATCTGTGGGTCGCGACCCCTTTGGGGGTTGAACGACCCTTTCACAGGAGTCGCCTAAGACCATCCTGCATATCAGATATTTACATTACGATTCATAACAGTGGCAAAATTACAGTTAGGAAGTAGCAACAAAACTAATTTTATGGTTGGGGGTCAGCACAACATGAGGGACTGTATTAAAGGGTCTCGGCATTAGGAAAGTTGAGAACCACTGGTCTAGAGCTTTCCTCACATTGTCACAAGAGATTTATAAACCCTCTACTCTTAAAACAAAAATACAAACAACGAAGTCTGACTGAGCTCAATGCTTTCCAATTTTTCCATAAAACTTGGGGACACAATTTAGCTTTGTCTCTCCAGGTAGGTTTTAAGCTCCTCGAAAGTGAAGGGCAAATCTTACACTAGTTCTGAAAGACAGTGCAGGCCACCAAAGATAAATATGTAAGACAGCCAATAACCACTTGTTTTAGTTATCCTGGCAAACTAAGAGACTAGTAAAAAGAAAACTAGGGTTTGATTTCCAACTCTCAGTAGGCAGTACTTCCCAAGTTTTACATGAACCCATTCACTTTTGATCTTTAAAATACGATCTTTTGGGTCTCAGTGCCTATAGCGCAGTAGTTACAGTGCCAGCCACATACATTGAAGATGGTGAGTTCAAGCCTGGCCTGGGCCAGCTAAACAACAATGACAACTACAACAAAAAATAGCCGGGCATGGGCAGTGCCTGTGGCTCAAAGGAGTAGGGCACTGGCCCCATATACCAGAGGTGGTGGGTTCAGACCCAGCCCCAGCCAAAAACTGCAAAAAAAAAAAAAAAAAAAAGGTTTAAAAAATAGCTGGGCATTGTGGCAGGTGCCTGTAGTCCCAGCTACTTGGGAGGCTAAGGCAAGAGAATTGCTTCAGCCTGAGTTTGAGGTTGCTGGGAGCTGGGAGCTGGGATGCCACAGCACTCTACCAAGGGCGACATAATGAGATTCTGTCTCAAAAAAATAATAAAATAAAATATGATCTTTTCACATCCACAAGTCCAGATGAGTTATTAATCTCCAGTTCTAGACAACTAAAGCCCATATGCCTATGTTTCTAGGGTCAGAATGAAACACTGTGAGAAGAGCTAAACTACTACAAATGCCATGTGAACCCAAACTCAACAGAGGGGGAAGAAAGAAGAGAATTTTACCCCTAACAAAATTAAAATCCTCACTGTCTATACCTTTAAAATATTTTAGTACCCATTTCAGTTTGGGGAATTACAAGAATTGCCTAATTGCCAATGCCTTCCCAATTTTTTTTGACCTAAAATTGTCTCAAAATAACAGTAAATGTTGATTTTAGTCATTTTACAGTAGTCCCCCCCTTATCTGTGGTTTCACTTTCCCCAGTTTCAGTGACCTGTGGTCAACTGAGGTCTGAAAACATTCAATGGAAAATTCCAGAAATAAACAATTCATAAGTTTTAAATTGCAAGCTATTCTGAGTTAGCGTGATGAAATCTCTCCCCATCTACTCCATCCCACCCAGGACATGAATCATCCCTTTGTCCAGTGTATCCACATACTGAAGACACTGGATAGGGTTTGGTGCTATCCGTGGTTTCAAGCGTCTACAGGGGGCCTTGAAATGATATTCCCCTTATATCAGCAGGGACTACTGTACCTTTAATGAATCATCATTTACTTTTCAGTTAAAATCCTATCCGAATGGTAAAAAGATATGAACATGAGCCATGCTTCCTAGTCTCAGGTTGTCAAACTTGTACACATTTAATCCAGTAATTAGTATTTTCTCATTCAATCAATATGTAGTACCCACTATTGAATGAAATGAGTAATAGTTAATTTAATAAATAATTTAATATGTAATAAATAATATTTATTTAATAGTGTATGAATTCTGTAGATCCACAGACTTTGCTTCAGACACCAAAGTCACTCACTTACTAGACTGTATGAGCTTTGGGCAAGTCATTCAATCTTACCAAGCCTCATTCCCTTTACCAGTAAAACTGAGCTAACATCTACTTCCTAGGGTTGCTGTTAAGGATTAAGTGAAGTGCTGCTGCGGGTAACAAAGTTAGGGTAATATCTGGTACAGAGCAAGGAACTCAATGACAGCAAACATCTTCACTGAGTCAAACGTGGTCAAATGTGTTGTGCATGGGGCTGGGTCAGAGGAGTATAAAAACATGAAGTTTCCATTCTAGTTAGGAAAACAGACATTTGTAATAATTTTTAAATACATTTTTATCATTCATAAAAAGCACTTTTTTTTTTTTGCAGTTTTTGGTCAGGGCCGGGCTTGAACCTGCCACCTCCAGTATATGGGGCCGGTGCCCTACACCTTGAGCCACAGGCACCATCCCCATTCATAAAAAGCAAGAGAACATAACACAAATGCAATTCTTAAGGTTACCTTTATCTTCAGCATCAGGAAATATTGTTTTGTCACTAGTATTGTAGGAAAATGAGATGTTGTGAATTGAATAATGAGAAGATGCCATCTTAGTAAAATTCACCATCCAGGAAAAACCAGATCCAAACTGCACTGCTATTTTGGGACCATTCTGATCATCCCCACAAATACTTCCATTATATGTCACAGTGCCAAAGTCCGAAATGGTTACATTTTTCTAAAAGAAATAGAATTTTAGAGTGAGGAACAAATAGGCAGCAAAGAAGACCAAGCATTTATGTAAGGTACATCACTTCAGCCTAAATCACACATTCCCAATGTCCAAGTTGCCCTTTGCCTGGTTTGCTGTGCAAACCCACCTCAGATTCTTTAGCTACATACCAGTTCTCTGGACAAATTCATGCGTGTCTAAAAAGAAAAGGAAAATTAGCCTAAACTGCTGTTCTTAAACTTACTTTAAAAAAAAATTAGATTGTCAGTAGGCAGGACCTTAATGAAAACCCCAAAGAAGGGAGATTTATTTATTTATTTATTTACCCAGGCTGGAGTACAATGTGATCATAGCTCACTGTAACCTTGAATTCCTGGGCTCAAGTGAGCCTCTAGCCTTAGCATCGAAAGCAGCTGAGATTACAGTATACAGTGTGCCACTATGCATGCCCTGCCTACTTTATTTTTATTCTTTTGTAGAGACAGGGTCTTGCTATCTTATCCAGGCTGGTCTTGAATTCCTAGCTTCAAGCTATCCTCTTGACTTGGCCTCTCTCAGAATGCTGTGATTACATAAGCCACCATACCCAGGCAGATTTTAATAGCAAGCTACTTTTAAAAAGAGCAAGCTTTAGTGTCAGTACATTTTAAACACATCACAAAAATAGTTAGATCTGAACACCGTATGGTCTTAGATGATTTGCCCTTAACCAACTTTAAGAAAAACTCCAGAGAACCAATCAGAGGAAATTTTAATTTCAACACTAAACAAAATACCTTGAAGTGTATATGTTTAAAAAAGCCCAGAGTTTAAGTGTTAAGTCACTTAACATGAAATTTTATTCACGTATCTAAAGCATAAAGAGTCAGAATTAAATTACTACTATAAAACTCAAAAAGAAAAATTAAAATATTTACTTACCTGAGTTTTGTTTGTAGTTTCATAGTATACTGTGAAATCCATCTGCCATTTTGCATAAAGGCAAGTGGAGTTTCCTGAATCTTTCAAAGTAAGTTCCAATGCATAAGAGGGGACATGGACAGCTCCTAGATTTATGTACAAAAAAGATTTTAAAATCATACTACGATAGTATATATAATAAATTTCAAAAATAAAAGCAAGCTCAGTCTACCACTGAAATCCAACCAGCTCTAAAATGAAACAAAATATTTTTTGATATATATGGTATCCTGTTGATTGTTTTTCTCTGTGTTTTTGATGGAATCCTATCGATAAAGTTAGCACTATCTCTTCCCAAAATAATGGTTAATAGAGCTAGGATGCTTAGGTAATGGTAGAGACTGGTATCATTTGCCTTCTGTTGCCTAATAATCATTTCCACGTTCACCTGTGCCTTGCTAGTTTTATTTTAGGCAATTATGGTTGGAGTGTTAGGACTTTTTTTTTTAAGAGATGGGGTCTTTGCTCTGTTGCCCAGGCTGGAGTGAAGTGGTACAATCACAGCTCACTGCAGCCTCCAACTCCTGGGCTCAACTCCTGCTTTAGCCTCTCGAGCAGCTAAGACTACAAGTCTGACCACCGCACCCAACCAGGACTTTTGGTTTTTGAGGTAAATAAAGTAAGGGGAAACCTGGTAGGGGTGTTAAACTCCTGCTTCTCTCAGACCAGCTGGTGAAACATTCTCTGCAAAAATAATTATAGACAGTGAAACCTGGTTTCTTGTACCCTCAATGAATCCCCAAAAATAAATTAAAAAAAAATAATTATAGATCTGAAGCTCTATATTCTTGTTTCAAATCCTTTACAAGCTATGTGACCTATGACACACAGATGTCTTTCTAACCTATTTTATTCTGATGTAATAAGATGTAGAATAGCTCTTTCAAAGCGTATCTATCACATGATCAAAGAAGCAGAGTTGCAAAAGACTGTTAGAGCCATAATAAAAAGGTCTTTTTTTATAAAAGCAAAGTTTACTTGTTTCACTTTAAAATTTAACCCATCAGTCTGGCCGATGCCTTTTTTGACAGATTCAAAGTTACTTCCTAAATTCTCAACCTGCTACCACCTCTTGAAGCAGAGATACTTTAGAGAGATAGAAAAGCCTTGGGACTTTTCAGCTAACTCAACTCCAATCTTCTATACTTACATATTAACACTACCTACTCAACTGAAGAGCCCAAGGACTCAAAATACTAATTTAGAGGAAGGCAAATATGCCAGCAAATGCAACAGCAGCATAAATATTGGGCAACCGTGTTAGGGTTCTCTTCACTGTCTCACACATTACCCAAGGGGTAAGTTGCTTCCTGTAAAGATAGCTGCATACCTTTTAATGATATCCGAGCAATCCAGTGTCATCTACAGGGGTAGGGACAAGCTGTACACAAAAATGTCCTAAGAGGAATACCAAGAAGGTGTGCCTCAGCAACAGCTTTCACATTGTATCTATCGTCATGCTCTGGAGACCTGGATGCCTCAACATGCCCGAATACCGTGCTTAAGCTTGTGGTTACTGACAATGACTAAATGTATTGGCTATGGCTCAAGACCTTGTGAGGCCTAAATAGGTTTCTTTTCTTTTCTTTTTTTTTTTTTTTTTTTTTGAGACAGAGTCTCAAGCTGTGGCCCTGGGTAGAGTGCTATGAAGTCGCAGCTCACAGCAACCTCAAACTCTTGGGCTTAAACAATTCTCTTGCTTCAGCCTCCCAAGTAGCTGAGACTACAGGTGCCTGCCACAATGCCCCGCTATTTTTTTGTTGTTGCAAATGTCATTGTTGTTTAGCAGGCCCGGGCCGGGTTCGAACCCACCTGCCTCGGAGTATGTGGCTGACGCCCTAACCATTGAGCTACAAGCGCCAAGCCCCTAAGTAGGTTTTATGACCACTCTTTTGTAAGCACAATATGGAAGGGAGCTGTCATACTGATCCAAAGCTACCCTACAGTGATGCTGAGAATATCAACTTACAATTTTAAGAATATCAACTTACAATTTTTCTAATCAACTGGAAGTTTACTTTTTACATGTAGTTTCTCACAGTCTTATTTGAAGTCCCTAGCTTTAGCATAATATTCTCCTTGTATTCAAGACATTCAACATTACTAAAAATAACCAGGAAAAGCCTCACATGTGTTAAACATTTTCTTTCTGAAGGTATTATAGCAGTAGGAAGAAAAATCATGTAAAACAGTAAAAGAAATCAATGTGTTCTGTGGTGTGAGAACTGAAATTTTATGAAGGAGAAGAAGGCACAGGTTGGGATTTCAAATTTATCACTTGAAATAAAATTGAACATAGTCTACCTGGCGTCCCCTAAAAGAGAACTGGGAATGCCCTGAGGGCTCCAGCACACTGGTTCTATTCCCTTTTTGCAAGGAACAGTGATCCTTTCCACGTCCTGCTCCTCATCTCCAACTGCACAGGTATCACTTATACTCAGATGCCTCGCACCTCAGATCAACTACTCCCAAACTAAAATTCATTTTTTTGCTTCCTCCAAACGAGTTCCCCCCACAGCCTCTCCAGGTGAAAGGCAGGACCCATCACTCAGGCTTAGAGGTTTTGGAAAATTTCTCTTTCATTCTCTTTTCCTGCAAATTTCCTCTTACATCTAACCTTTGGCCTTTTATTTCTACTCCAAATTTACCACCCTGCCTTAAATTAGGACAGACAACTCCTAGCTGCCCCTAGAAGTGCTGCCAGCTTAATAGTCCTTAAATACCACTTCCTTTTAGGATACTTACTTGTTTAAAGATTTTTACTGGCTCCAAAATTCCCATATTTAATTTGAATTCCTCTGCCTGACTTTCAAAGTAACCCTTAATCTTGTCCCACCCTATTCCTTCAACTTTTCTCAAAACATTTCCCAGAACACACCCTTTAATCTGGCTAAACTTGTTTCCACTGGACCCAAATGCTAGCTTCTGTTCAGGCTTTACCCCAGGGCTTTTGTTGTTCCTAACACTTGAAATTCACTTTCTTCTACTGACCTAAATGTTAACCACAAGATGGATTTTACTCTCATTTTGGTGGCCCCCAAATCTGAAACCTCCCCTCTTTGTTACAATTTCTAGCAGGTATTTCCACCTACTATAAAAGCCGAAAATGTTGGTTACTTGCTTTCCCAGCTGCCTTTGCAGCAAGGAGGTACACTTGTGCTAGGCGCTGCCTAATAAAGGTATCTACCCCAGACTTTGAATAAGAGGGCTGCAAATGGAAGGGAGGGGGTGTTAGGAGGGTGGAGTAGCGCAGCTACAGCAAGATCAAGGTCAGCAGAGCAAGCTGCAGCTTCAGGCATGGTGGTGGTAACAGTTCACTGGCATGATGTGGGGCACTGAATCAGGCTTTGGCCTATACAGCCAAGAGTGGCAGTAATTCTCACTTACCCAGTATATATTTTTAACAAAGCAAACATTTTATTGATACGCAACATACAGAAAAATACATAGCATATCATATGTAAGGGAAAAGTGCACATAAAATTGACTCTGTAACTCAAAGCATTTTCACAAACCAAATCCACTTGTATCAAGAAACAAGTACAGGCTAGGCACCCATAGCACAGTGGCTACGGTGCCAGCCACATACACTGAGGCTGGTGGGTTCAAACCCAGCCCTGGCCAGCTAAACAATGAAAACTGCAACAAAAAATAGCCAGGCATTGTGGTGGGTGCCTATAGGCCCAGCTACTTGGGAGGCTGAGGCAAGAAAATCACTTAAGCCTAAGAGTTTGAGGTTGCTGTGATCTGTGACGCCACAGCACTCTACCAAGGGTGACACTGTAAGACCGTCTCGAAGAAAAAAAAAAAGTACATCTGACCTTTGATCACAGGTTTGCATGAGTCCTTTTAAACACAGATTTTTTTCCACCCCTGAGAAGGCAAGACTAATCCCTCCTGTTTCTCTTCCTCCTTATGATTTTTTGTTTTGTTTTGTTTTTTGAGACAGGTTTCAGATTTGGGGGCCACCAAAATGAGAGTCTCAAGCTGTTGTCCTTGGTAGAGTGCTGTGGCATCACAGCTCACAACAACCTCAAACTTTTGGGCTTAAGCAATTCTCTTGTCTCCGCCTCCCAAGTAGGTGGGACTACAGGTGCCTGCCACAACGCCTGGCTATTTTTGGTTGCCATTGTTATTTAGCTGTTCCAGGCCGGGTTCGAACCCACCACTCCTGGTGTATGTGGCTGGTGCCGTAACCATTGTGCTACAGGTGCCAAGCCATGATTTTCTTAATAACATTTTCTCTCTAGTTTATGGTAAGGATATAGTATATAATACATGTAACATACAAAATACATGTTAATCAACATGTTTATGTTGTTGGTAAGGCTTCCTTCCAGTCAACAGTTGGTTATTAGTAGTAGTTAAGTTCTTGGGGAGTCAAAAGTTATATGTGGATTCTCGACTGTGTAGGTGGCTGATGTCCCTAACCCCCATGTTGTTTAAGGGTCAACTATACTGCCAGCGCCTCCCTTCTCCCTTCTTTCCCCTTCTAGTTACTACTATCCCCCTCCCAAGGGTAACTTCTATCCTGACTTCTGACAGTATGGATTAGTTTTATCTGTTTTTCAAGCTGGTATCAATGGAATCATTCATTATGCTCTCTTTTGTGTCTGGCTTATTTCACTCAATATTATGTTTTATGAGATTCGCCCATGTTGCCCATAATTATGGTTTATTCATTCTCACTGCTGTACTGGGTGAATATTATACAACTTATCTATGCTACTGTTGATGGGCATCTGGCTAGTTTCCAGTTTGGTTCTATTACAAATGCCACTAGATACAGTCCTGCACATATTGGTAAACACATATGTGTGTTTGTTGGGTATATATCTAGGAATGAAACTGTAGGGTCAAATGGTAATATGTCCTGTTATCTTTTTAATAAATTCCTTTCTGCTTCAAATCAATCAAATTTTATTTGTCTTGCTTGCAATTAAGAACCTGAACTGATATGCTATCTATTTTTTAGCAGTCATTTTCTCCACAAGGCTTTCCTTGAGTATAAAAGCCTGCAGGAACAATAATGCATTCCCCACACTTCAGTATATTTTATGCTATTCTGAATTATTCAGTTATTTTA